GGATCTTTGCGGGTGCGGCCGCCGCTGCGCCGTGTCCACGTGGGACCGCGCGAGGGTCACCCACCCGCCCTCCAGCTCCCTCGGCCCGCGTGTTTGTGTGACGGCTCGGGTTCCAACTTGAAAGGGCCCCAGAGCCAGGACTGTCCCCGTTATCCCATTCATCCTTCCTCCCGAGCCCGGGACCGACCCGCTGGAGTTACCAGACGGGAGTGGTGAGGTTGGCCGGGTGGGAGGTTTTAACCCGGCCTGTTAGGCACCTGGTCCGGGGGGCAGAAAACTTTAATACGTATAGCCACCGCCTCCCGTCCTGATTATTCTTTTGGGGAGAGGTTTTTGCTATAGGGCATGTGCACTCACCAGAGAGACAGAAAGCGAGAAACCACCCCCCAGGGAGGATGGCTACGCCTCAATCCCTTCTCCTCCATTCTCCTCTCGGGATCTTGGGCACGCACGCACACGCGCCCCAAGTGAGTTTAAGCCACCGGGTCCGGGACGCGAACCGCGGTTGACTACGTGGAAGTCCAGCGACATAGCCATTAGGCCAACTGCTGGTCCCCCATTTTGAGTATTTTTGGAATCGACCTTTGCTGAGCTCCTGAAAGGTATTGGCTGCTCAAAGGGAGACTGAGGCACGGTCTCTGTAAATTTGCCTTTCATGAGCTCTGGAGTCAAGCATGCCAGAGTTTGGGAAAACAAAAATTACAATTCCTTACAGGTGCACCCAGTCCTGTTGCACAGCAGGAAAAAAATAATAATATTTACCCCCAGGGGCTGTTGGGATTAAGTGAGTCTGAATAGACCATGGGATCGCTAGCCACTGGCAGTGTTGGCTAGTGTTGAAATCTCCTGGGTCCCCTCCTTGAACTCTGCGTCACCGCATTTAAGGCCTGAGCGTTTGGAGTTAAAGGGAACTGGGCTTGAGGGTGCTGTAATATACCATTCCCCAGTTCATTTTTTAAATCTTTTTTAAGAATTTATATTTAGGGGACCCGCAGGTGGCATGGTGATTAGGGCACTGGACTCCCACATGGCTGACCGTGGTTTGAGTCCCGGACCTGGTAGCTTGCTTTCTCACTCTTTCTCTCTGGTCAAATTAAAATAAATGAATGAATAAATAAATAATTATAAAAAAACAATAAGTAAATAAGATAAAATAATTCTTTTTAAAAAAAAAAATTTTTTTCTTTTTTTTTTTTGGAGAGGTTTTTGCTATAGGGCATGTGCACTTGCCAGACAGACAGAGGGAGACAGAGAGACAGAAAGCGAGAAATCACCCCTCAGGGGGGATGGCCACGCCGCACTCCCTGCTCCTCAATTCTCCTCTCGGGATCTTGGGCACGCACACACACACGCCCGGTGTGAGTTTAAGCCACCGGGTCCGGGACTCGAACCGCAGTCGACTACGTGGGAGTCCAGTGACATAGCCATTACGCTAACTGCGGGTCCCAAAAAAAAAAGAATTTTTTAAAAAATAATTTTTAAAATCTTTTTAAAAGAATTATTTTATCTTATTTACTTATTGTTTTTTTATAATTATTTATTTATTCATTCATTTATTTTAATTTGACCAGAGAGAAAGAGTGAGAAAGCAAGCTGCCAGGTCCGGGGCTCGAACCATGGTCAGCCGTATGGGAGTGTCCAGCACCTTAACCACCACGCCACCTGCTGGTCCCAACTTATTATTGTTTTTCATTTGGCCGTGTGCACTCACCAGAGAGAGAAGGTGAGAAGGCAGACCAGCACATCCAGGACTCGAGGTGTATGTGCGTCAAACGTAGCTCCTCTGTGGGCCAGTCCACTTAACAGGCCCTCTTCCCCTGCCCTTACCAAACTTTCACCCTCTGGGTTTTTTGTTTGTTTTTGATTTGTTTGTTTATTTTCTTTAGGTTTTAGCCATAGGGCACATTTGCTCACCAGAGAGAGACAGTGAGAGGAGAAGTGAGAACTCACCCCATAGGTAGGACAGCCACACTGCAATCTCTCCTCCTCCATTCTCCTCTCCTCTTGGGATTTTGGGCACACACACGCATGCCCATGGCAAATTTCAAGCTGCCGAGTCCAGGACTCGAACCATGGTCAGCCATGTGGGAGTCCAGTGCCTTAACTACCGTGCTACCTGCTGGCCCACCGTGTGCCCTCTTGGGTTCTCTAGCACTGGGGATTTGGACAGGTGACTCACCCTCCCTGAGCTTCGGTGTCCTACGTCGGAAATGAGGGCTCGTAGCGTAGTACCCAGCAATGCCCGACCCCTCGTACCCCCGTGACGCTCCCCTCTTCTGACATCACTCACGTCGCACCTCTCACATCCTGTCGCCTCACAGCACAGGACACATTTCTCGAGTGTCTGTAGAGACAAGTGTGGCAGAAGCAGCCCTTGCTCCTCATCTCTGCCTTCCAGGGTGACTTCGATGAAATTAAAGATCTTTGGGTTTGTTCTGAGTTTTCCCCCCTGGCACACAAACTCTGTCTTGCACGGGAATTCCTGTCGATGTTTTCTAGAAGCCTCATGCTGTTGTCTATGAAGACATTCTTGCATTTCAGGGCCTGGGGGCCACCTTTCCTCTGTGGATTTTTTTTTTTTTAAAGATTTATTTATTTAATATTTTTCTGTTTGACTAGAGAGAGAGAGAAGTTGAAAAAGCAACCTGCCAAGTCGAGGACTTGAACCGTAGTTGGCCATGTCCAGCATCTTTAATTACTACGCCACCTGCCAGCCCCTCTGTGTAGAATTTTTTTTAAATAATAGCGTTCATGAGATACCCTATAACTCCATAGAATTCAGTCTTTGAAAATGTCCAATTCAGGGACCGGCGGGTGGCATGGTAGTTAAGGCTCTGGACACTCCCACATGGTTGATCACGGTTCAAGTCCTGGATCTGGCGGCTTTGTTTCTCCATCTCTCTCTGTCTCTGTCTCTGCCTCTCTCTGGTCAAATTAAAATAGATGAATAAATAAATTAAATAATTCTTTAAAAAATAAAGAAAATGTGCAATTCAATGGACTTAGTATATTTATGGTTTTGCAACCGTCATTTTAGCTAATAATTTTTTTTTTTTTCATTAAGAGATTTTTGCTACAGGGTGCGTGCGCTCGCGGGAGAGACAGAGACGGAAAGCGAGAAATCCCTTCCTCCCCAGCCCAGGCGTGGCTGGCTAGATCACACACTGTTGATGTTGAGTGGAGCCTTCCCGTGTGGCGGGATCTGCCGGGACTCCCACAGGACACTCCACTTGCTTCCTGCTTCCTTCCGTGGGTCCTCCTGGACTGTAGCCCGTTGCCTCGTGTTTCACACTCGTGTCGTCTCCCCGGGTCGCGTACAAGACCTGGAAGCGAGAGGTACCAACTTACAGGGGTTTGACTTAACATTTTTTGACTCGGAGGGACCAGCAAATGGCAAAACAGTTAGGTCGCTGGACCCCCATGTAGTCCACCGCGGTTCAAGTCCCAGACCCAGCAGCTTAAAACTCAAACTGGTCAGGTGTGTGTGCATGCGCAAAATCCCAAGAGGAGAAGAGAAGAGAAGGGATTGCAGCGTGGCCATCCCCACCGGGGTGACTTCTCACTTTTCCCCCTCACAGTCTCTCTCCCTCTCTCCAGTGAGTGAGTGTGCCCTATGGCAAAAACCTCACAGCAAAACAGCTGGGAGCTATTGACCCAGGGCTCGGCGTGTACTTTAAGGTCCCTTTTTGAGGAACAAAGTGCTCAGTAGATTCATTTCGCTGCGGACAGGGAGCTCTGGGTTCTATCTCTCTATCTCCAGCATCTCTGAGTATCAGGAGACTCTGGTAGGTCCTCAGGAAGTGTCTGCTGGCTGAGAGAGAGGAGGAGTCCCCAGAGGCGGAAGTCCTCTCATGCTTACTCCCAGGAACCCTCACGTGGCAGCTTTGGGCAGGCACCAGGCCTTAGTGTGAGACACATTAGAAACAGCACCACTCGGGACCAGCAGATGGTGTAATGGCTACGTTGCTGGACTCCCACATAGTCCTCCGTGGTTCGAGTCCTGGAACCAGCAGCTTAAAACGCAGTCTGGGTGCATATGTGCATGTGCCCAAAATCCTGAAAGGAGAATGGAGGAGAAGGGATGGTGGTGTGGCCATCCCCCCTGGGGTGATTTCTCATTTTCCCTCTCTCTATTTGTCTCTCTCTGGCTAGCATACGTGCCCTATAACAAATTAAATAATGAATGAATGAATGAAATAGCACCACTGACTTCTTGGGGGGTGGGCATGGGGATTGAGATATTCCAGGTGAAGGAAGTTTGCACCGCTCGTACCAAATGTTTTGACTCTGTATGTTTTAGTTTATTACTCTGTTCCGTGTTTCCCATAGAGCGTAGCATTTTCCGAGTCTAGGTATAAAAGCGCTCACGTTTGGATCAGTGTTGATATTGACTGTCCGTTCCTTTCTCCTTGTTGGCTGCTGTATTTAAAGAACACGTACTCTTGAAAAATGGCAGAAGCCGTTTTCCACGCTCCGAAGAGGAAAAGAAGAGTGTATGAGAATTACGAGTCTCCATTGCCCATCCCTTTTGCTCAGGACCACGGGCCCAGGAAAGAGTTCAAGGTGTTCCGTGCCGAGCTGATGAACAACAGCGTGATCGTGAGGAACTCGGAGGACATGGAGCAGCTGTATGGGAAGGTGAGTGCCGGCCCCGTGTGGGCGCTCCCTGCAACCCCGAGCAGGCTGGCGCTGCTGCCCACCACCATCCCCACAGACGCACACACCGCAGACAGGTCTGTCCTTCCTGGCAGCTCAGTCCAGTGTAGGGACGGAGCGGTTTGAATCAGATGCACAAAAGCGATACATCCAGGGTAGCTGGCAGTTGGAGTGCCCCACGCGCGAGTCTGTATTTCTTTTTTTTTTTTTTTCTTTCTTTCTTTTTTAATTGCCAGAGGGCCTGTGCCTCACCAGGGGAGGAGGGAGAGAGGGCACCCCTGCTTGCTGCCCAGGGGGGGTGGTCACGCAGTGGTCCCTTCCCTTCCTTGCTCCTTCCAGTCCAGGTTTTTGGCACGCGCGCACACACACACACACACACACACAGGTGTGGTTTTTAAACCTCCATCGCAGTCAGCCCGCAGGCAGGATCCAGCTCCCCCACCGTACAGCACGCCAGGGCATTATCGGCCAGACTTCGCAAGCCCTTATTTCAACAGTGCAGGAGGGGCAGGCAGTGGCATGGTGGCTCAGGGTGCTGGGCTCCCCCGTGGCCAACCAGCTTCAGTTCCAAACCTGGCAGTTTGCTTTCTCTCTGTCTCTGTCTCTCCCTCCTTCCATCCCTCTCCCTCTCTGTCCCCATCTCTCTTTCCC